TAAACATATTTTATAAACTTATTTTAAGTAACACTTACACTCGGGTAACATGTACTTTGTAGTGTTGGCCAGTCTCGAAAGGTAACTATTAATCTGCTCAACTTCCTCTCCTGTGGAATATGCAGAACCTTTTGCCACCGTCCTCCCACAATACCTTAAAATAAGACGAGTTTGGAAATTCTTGTTTATAAGAAATTCATTAATGTCTGAGTAGACAATACTGAGTGAACATCGATATACGTATAAGTACACAGCCAGCATTCATTATAAAAACACATGATACCAGTGTACCTGGCATGTCCAATTATGTGCTTTGGCATGCATCACAGATAAAGCAGGTTTTATTTCGTGAGCATTTGACTCATCCGACTTTGATGCCTTCACTGCCCACTTCCAATATTTACATATGATATCTTGCCAAATGTATTTAACATTGTTTGGAATCATTTTGTGAACATGGATGTAATTAGAGTAGCCATAAATCTCTCCGCGAAACATGTTTACAGCCCACTGAGCAATTGCATGCCGGCAACCTGCAATTTCCAGTCCTGTTTCGTCTAGACGACTCTTTCGTTTTCCTTTATTTCCAGCAGCTCGCCAATTACTTTCACCACATTTCCCGTCATCAGAAAAGTTCTGTAACACAAAAGATTCAAATTCGAACCATGATCGTGGAAAAACGAACATTTATATATTGATTCAGAAAAGGCTAAACTGTCGATTTTATTATTTATTACAATGAATACAATAGCCAAAATGCAAAACCAATAATAATGAATAAATATCATTATCAAAGGGTAAGTATTGAGTTATAATGAAAAGAACTTTACTCATGTAATGGTGTATTGTACTGAACTGTACAAAACATTTCAACATCAGTGCAAAGCATGACCTCCAAATTACCCGAACTTGGGAGTGGAATAAACCTTTCTAATATGCTCTGAAACATGTTCATTCGAAGAAATAAAAAGATCTCCATAGTAAGACTGACTTTGTTCTCTATAAAAGAGAGAAAACAAGAGTTTACATTATGAAAGGCTCCTTAGAATGTGTAAAAATTACAGAGTTTGACATAATACCTTCCTGAATGTTTATATCGGTATAACTTCATGTTGCCATCTACATGACAGGAGTGTTGGTTGGATGAGCAACTAGGACAAAACATCCACTCTTTTCCCTGGGCTTTTTCCACCTCATAATTAAAATATTTCCATTCTCGAAAGGCTTTTGTGAACGTTCGTGGATTTATTGATCCAAACTAAAAATTGAAAGAAAGTAGAAATCACATAGAAAAAAATTGTAGACTTTTGCCACACATACATATACATTTTTTCATGAATTTGGATGTTTTCCATAACACTAGTGACAATGGTAATTGCTTTACACAAAAAAAACTATGTACAATGCTGAGAGTTTACACTTAGTAATGTGGCATACACACAAAGTATTTATGTACGCACCCTTCCTTTTGAAACACTTATGTCTTCCAATGATCTAATAAAACTGGACTCAGAACAACCTGGCATTCTCTTTTGCATTGTGTTCCACAGCAGAAGTAAATCCTGTGAAAATAACACATTTAAAGACTTTGGATTTGCTGGCCAGTAGCCATTACCAAGAATATCTGCAAGTGTCGGCATCAAGAATGCTGAACAAGAAACACACTTGAATGATGTACTGTTTATGTCAAAGCGACCTAACAATAGAAAAAGATTAATAAACATGATAACTAAAAGACATTATGTACATAGGATGGCAGTTTACTGTATACATGTAACTATTACAGTATGTAAGAAGAATACTACAGTAAATTAATGAGTAAATTATATAGTAGTCCTTCACAACACTGATGAAGAAAAATCAAAATGTTTAAAGATTAATGTCAACAGTTGTCGGTTCAATAAGATTACATTTTATTGGAGCAAACACAAAATTTTGCATGTTCAACATTGCAAGTATAAAATACTTTGTACATTACCTTGTGTTGTACAAATAGTCAGCATGTCCTTACTGGGCACGGGTGAAAGGTTGATTTTCTAGAGCAGCCATGACAAAACTTTTGGACAGGATGCAAAAAACATAGCAATCTAAGAAACAAATATAATAAATTTTCATCATTAGACTGGGAGATAAAACCTTTTTGTATAAATAATAGAATTATATCACCCCAAATTATATACCTATAAGTAGCTACATATGTAGGTTGATTTTGACATCAGTTAGCATAGTGCATATGACATTTAACATACTTTTACCATATTTACATGACATACCAACTTCAATTATTTGTCCATTTTTATCCAATGAATGTGATGGCTGAAGTGGTCTGAAATGATTACCCATCCACCCATGTCTATCATGGAATGGCTTTCTTTCATGAATTTTCCTATCACATTCAACACAGACTGGCCAGTTACTACCACACTGATGACACTTTATCAAGCCTGGAGATTCCCCACAATTGAAGCATGGTGTGCCTTTATCAACTGATTCACATTGGATCAAGGTTTCGAATATGGTAGATCTATTATTTTCCCAAAGAGAATGAAGCTCTTCCATGCGATCAGACCATTTCTTGGCATCCTCTTTCTCTGAAGCCAAAAGTCCTCTGCATTCAAATATAAGATTCTCTAGCTCTACAAAACAATAATGACTTATATTATAAAATTTAACCAGTAAAGAAATTAAAATTGTTAGCTGAGTGAGCTTGTTGTGGACAATTTCAAAGTTAATATCATTTACATGCATTTCAACAAATTATTGCAATTATTGATTTCAAATGCAATTATTAGTTTTACCAAAAGCATTTCAAGCATGAGCAATCATTAGACAAATCTATTACATTTAACTTAATATTATACATATACATTGATGCTTACCAATATCAACGTCTGTTTGCTTGTGCTCATCATTTACTTGAAAGTCATCAGCCACAGAGCTATCATACTGCTGGTTATCTAATATAAATTTACAATGCAATTTCTTATACAGTACCTAAAACAACATTGACCTGTAACAGTTTTAGGTACAACCATGCATGGTAATGTAATGACAGTTTACTCAGTTGTCTTTCTGCTTACCCATAAGAAACTAAATAGTCAAATCTGCTAAGGACACTGGACAAAATTGTTTGAGCCATATATGATTTAAAGCAGCAAAATTGTACAGTCAATATTTCAAGTACAAAATTTCATAGCATGATGTAGTTACATGCATACTACATATTATTTAGCATAAAATTGCAAACAAGAACAACAATCTCAACATACTACTGAAGATAGTAAATTTTAATATAAATACTAAATATTAACATTACCATTTTGCTTAATTGATCCTTGACGGCAGCGGTAAGGCGTGTGGGTCAACCTCTTAAACCAACTTGCACTAAGCGAAAATGAGAAGGCTTTTTCCCCGACATTTTGATCCTTTTTCTTTCGCCAACAAGGCTAAACCATCATTCAGAACTTTCTCCAGAGTCTCGGATTTCTTCTTTTTACACGTGTATATCAAGGTAGAATAAATAATAGCTTAATTGTAGTTAAAATTTGCCTAATTTAATACACAATGATTCCATTCCTTTTGAACAGCAATATCTATAATATGGTGAATTCTTACGTTTTGGTCGTTTTCCGCCATGTTAACTTTTCGCGGGTGCGCAAAACGTATTGAATGGATAGTTACGGAGTTTCCCTTGGATTGATGATTATTATCTATTTAAGCCGTTTGTCAATTGATGCTATTCATCTATTTAAGCTTGAGACTGTGTTGTTATTTTCCATTTTATTTTCAAAGAACCATTTTTTGTTCCAGTTTTCACATTATTACCCTGCAATTCATAAGCCGCTGACCAAATTTTTATAAGCTTGAGGACTCAGTTAGACAACTCATTGCCCTATAAATGGAAGTGGCAACCAGCAACCAGAGGTGGCAACTGTTGTGCAGCAAATTTTTCACTGAACTGTATAATTATTTACCACAAGACACTTAGTAAATTTCTTTAAAGCTTCATCAGTGCAGTGGTAAATGCATGAAAACTGTAAAAGATGTTATTCTAAGGGTTATGTCGGCTACTAGAATTTTGCTAATATCTTCTGCAGCTTGTGTTATGCCACTTGTTGTGTGGGATCTACAAAGGTCAGTTACGTTTAGTTTGAAGAAATTAAGAAATCATGTGCAACTTCTGATGAATTTGTCAGAGATGGAAAGTTACAGTTTAGGAGTTATCTTTGTTGGTGAATCTTGCATCAAGCAAATGAATAATAGATAATTGCAATATCAACAAACCAACTGACATCTTGTCATTTTCAAATCATGTAGAAAAGTCTTACTATGTGACTATTGTCTATTGATCATGTAACATTGTTAACATAGTATAGATTTACAAGGCAATAATATACAAAGTTCCTCCTTGTACTTGTTAATTTGTTTCTGCATAAATTCTTTAAAGAGGATCAGACAGGGAGGCAAAGTCATTAAACAGTACATAGTGTCAAGCTATTTCGTCATTTCATGCACATTTCCTGTCTGCCCAGCAACATTTGTGCTTTCTGTGGAAGTTTATTTCATCTTGTTATTTTTACCCCTCTCAATGGCAATAGTCCACTTCTACATGTAAGATCAGGGTTAGATTTAAGGAAGGCCTGTGAGGGAGTGCACTCTTCAAGTGTTGGTTAGAGGGGATTTAGGAGAGGGGATGAATATTTACCTACAAAGTAGAACACATGAAGAATTAAGCCAAAGCAATTGTAATTCATGTTTTAATTGAGCACATTTCAAAACTCCCATTCATAATATAAAAGGTAACAGAATTCAACAAAAATGTATGGCATGATATGGCATTGAAATCTAATCCAACAAGCACCCTAACAAAACCATTGTGGATCCATTCCTGTGTAAGGTGCTGTTTTCATAATTATTCAGATAATTATTCCTGGTAACTTACATACAAATGAAGCATTGAAATTGGACGAGAACCTTGGTGATATATTTCTTTGCCATCCAGTCATCAGGAACCACTGTATTTGATGATGAAACAGATTTTCAAAATTCTCTTCCTGTATGTTTATTTATCTAACAATGAATAATATTAAACCTAACATGGTTTTATATTCACATAATGCACTTATGTGACTTGAGACTTGAATTTAAACTCGCACTTCGGGATACTAGTCTGCCGCTAAATTTATGTATGAATTTAAGCATGTGTATTTTATTAACAGGTTTATGTTACTTAGGATATGTCACTTGATGGGTTACACACATCATACCAGTGAAGATTGGACTCTGGTAATTTATTTGTAAACTGGCTTTTGGACTTTTTCTTTTTATTTATCTGTACCACCCAAATGCGTTCCAGCTGCGTTCGAATGGAACGGCAGTATCAAAACCGTTTCTTGGCTGCATCTGATCATTGATCAGTAATCATCATTATACTCATTTTGGAAATTTTCGATGTTATACCGAGTTTATTTCATTATGTTGAACAATCGAGACGCGTCCAGAACGTGACCTAATTTTGGAACGCGAACGCGAGTCGTTAAGTTACTTCTGAGCGGTACTACCTCGACTCCATTTATCCTGTCTTGCTCCAGTATCTTTGTTTTCTCATTGAAACTTTCCACCTCACAAGGTATCACGTACATTCTTTTTCCTTCTCCTTACTTTGAAAGGAAGTTAAATCATAATCAATTACATCCAAGAGAGTCCACATTCTTACAATGCATTTGGTGTGATTTCATTAATGTTCAAGCATTGCTGATCAAATGCCATTGACTGAAGTTAATCGTGTGTTCTAATTTACTTCAGGTACTTCGAACTTAGAGGCAGTGATTCTCCTTTGCTTTCAAGTGCGTAGTCACCAGTCAGGGGGAGCAAAAGGCAATTGCCCACCCTTTTTAAATTACAATTTCAAATTGGTAGCACGTTTTTGTTCAGCACGACGTAAGTTCTTGCCCCCCCTGATAAATTCCGCATACGTTTATTAAAGTGTATGCAAAATGAACATTTGAGGCATACCTTGTTAACTTACGTTCTTCAATCTACCTGTCCATTTAATCTTCTTTATCTGGAGAACCAGTAAACTACATCTACTGGAAGCGTTCTTATGCTTTTTTCTGCCTTTGATAACAACCGCGTACATACAACGGGAGTCATTTCATTTGGTTTAAACAATTATTTTTGGTACACATTATAGGAAGAAAAAAATTAGTTACGTATAACTCACACTCATGTCAGTATCATTGTTCTATTGCAGATGTTTTCGAAGGAAAAAGAAATTTTATCGGCTTTTGCAGAAAAGAACTGGAATAATCATTTCCCCATTGACTGCTCAGTCAAATTAATATAAGTGAAAAATGTACAAATATCAAGACTGTTTGGTTCCATATAGAGTTGTACTATCAATGATGAAATAAACGTAGATTTGTGAATAAATTACCATATTTATGTTCGTTTGCAGCTGTAATCACTACATCATCTGAAACTGATCCAGCAGGACTCGCAATATATTCCACACCACTCTAGAAAAACAAGTTACAAACACTATTCAAACTATATTCATTGAAATCAATGCACCTAGAAATTACTGTTGAGGCTGCCAAAAAACAAACAAAACAAATACCATTAATTTTAGAGCTACAATGGCACTGGAAACTGACATGGATGATAAAGGAAGGCTCGGCGTTGACATTACATGCTTGAATAATGCTTAAATAAGCTGAACTCGATGTTTCAGTAGGCTATGGTGAACAATCATTTCTTGCTATGACTTGCTAATATACCAATTATGTAGTGAAAGGAATTGAATAATTGTAAACAGTGTGAATATGCATGTAGAACAATAGAAACAAAGTGGTGATATGTCCTTTTCATTACGAAGATCATTTCTGTTTGTTTGGTGAACACATTAACTGCACTTAGAGCAGAAAAATATAGGTACCTGGGCTGCGCGATCAATGTTGTCTTGAAATGGGAAAAAATGCATCAGAACTTAAAGAAACTTCTTTTAGCTCCTTTAACCAAGAACTTCTTTCTTGCTGCAACATGGAACGTTTCAAAAGTTATTTTTAGATAAAGTTACGCGACATTTGCAGCTTAAAGACATAATAATAAGTAGCTACTTTAGTAAGATCTGAAGGTGGATCTTCAAGCATCGATTCCAAGTACTTCTACTCATATCCTTAACATAAAAGCAAATATTTATCAATGTCAAAAGATTATAGGGGATGTAAAAAAACGCAATCAGTGAATGAATAAATTACAACCACAGTGACAATTGTCAAAGTGATAAAACTGTGTGTATGGAAACAGTTTAAATTCCCAGGTCTGTCACACGTGATATTATTACATGACTGGAGTCCCTGAAATGATTAAATAAAATACAAATAGCACCTGTCCACTGTTCCGTTGACAAACACGTCAATAACGTTAGATTTTCTGCTCGTTTACTCCCCTAACGTATGCAAAGCAAAGTATTACTTAATAAACATGCACGATGTGATGGCTAGTGTCTTAGAATATCACGTCTACTACAAGGTCATTTTACTCTACTTACCGTTTTGAATTTCATTCCAAGAACTTGGGATGTTGTCAAACCACCTAAAACATTAAATAAAACGATTCAATCATGTCCGTATCAATTTGACATGGATTAACAGTCAATGTTACCAAATACCAACCAATTATTACTTTTATCACCAGCCAGAACGAGTGCAGTGAATACGTAATTGTTGACCAGCTCAATTCCGATGACCTGAAGAAATAAATAGAGTTGGGCTCATCATTGCAACAATATTCGTACGTTTCATTATCGAGCAAAAAGGCAAAGAGCAGTTGGGAAGTTTAATTTTACGTATATGGTTATGGTAAAGTTTTTATAGGAAAAATCAGTCGTTACACTTAAATCTTAAGTTGGTTAAAGAAAAATAGACAAGCACATTATAAGAAGTACCTGGCCATTCTTAGCATAGCAAACAGAATTAGTTATTGTATACTTAGGCGCTACTGTTGCCGACCAAGTCACGTAATGCTTCGCCACTTATCTGGGCAAGAATACAAAGCCAAGAACAAATAAATAGGTATGTTACATAATTACACAATATCCCATCTACAGGCTTAAGCATGTAACTGACAATAAATGATTACCTCGCATCTTTTTGTCTTCACATTTTCAAACAATTTCTTGTCAATCTTTCCATTATTCCTGATTTGCTCCATTTCAAGCCAAATAGCGTTCAGTTTTCTGACAATGGTGGCTCATAGTTTGAGTTCATCTAAAGCACAGAACATGTATGCTCGTAATGTATTTGGTCATCTCCATTGATTTTGTGCAAGCGTAATACACAATTAAGGAATTTGCCACTACATATGCGTCTGTAGTATTTTTATTAAGTATGCTAAAATGTAGCTAAGTTTCTTAATTATCAACAAAAATTGATCAGAAAAGTCTACAGTATGCTTCTTTTGATCAGCATTACCCATCAATATGTTGAATGAGTCTCAAATTGTTGAAGATGATTTGGTGTTTTATTTTATCAGTTGGGAACGCTATAGAAGCTAAGTTGATGGCCAACACACTCATAAGTTTGATATATTTTATTAATCACGGTTTCACATACAGATATGTATACTCGACTAAAGACTCGAAATTACTGCTCATCCACCTTGAATACAGTCCTAAATTCACCCTTACTCACGTAATTGTACCACTACTAATGATTAACTTTGTATACGATTACGTAATTCAAAATCGTCCAGTTCCTATACATTATCAAGTTTATGATAATCACAAACGTCAAAAAAAGAACTAGGGATCAAAGGATAGTGCAAAGTTAAAAAACACACCTTTTGACTTGTAAATTGTATCAACCGTAAAATGTTTCATAATAGTCACATATTACTGCAGAAATTATCTTCATGAGCATGCGCAGTCCACAAACCAATTGTTCGAGTTCATAATCATAGAAACGACCAACTGGATCTCCTTACACAGCTCTGGGAGTAACTAAGCAGCACGCTCAATCACAAACTATTAGAAATATCAAAGGGAATTTGCAGTCAACAGAACAACTGTCAGTTTAAACCTGGAAGGCTAAATACATATACATATATAGTATATGTCAAATGGCTACTGCATAGACTGGGTGTTATAAGGTTGCAATTCATAGCTTGCCACTCTCTCTCTGCATATCACCAGGATGGTCTGAAGCTTTCCTATAGAAAGCACAGTCAAACAGTGCAGTAGGGCAAAATCTCACACCAAACGTTACCATGCGACGCTCTAGTGTTCAACTGTCTGGAGGCATGGACCGAACATAATTTTTGATTTTCAAAA